GGACGGGCCCGGGGTCGTGCCGGCGGCCTGTGGCTAGGGATGACGACGGTCCGGCCGGCGGATTCCCAGTCCCCATCCGAAAGTGCGAGAACCGCCCCCGCCCCGCTGACCGTCCTCCGCGTCGTCCGGGTGGGGGACCCCCACTGGCCGCCTCCTCCCCACTGAGCGTGCAGAGGACCCAGACCCGGTCCCGAGTGGGCGCCGAGACCCGCACCTGCAGGGCAGACCCTCACGGGTGCGTACATGCGGGCCGAGACTGATCGGGTGCAGGGGGACCTGACCACGGAACCCGAGGTTCTGGGGTGTCTTCGCTCCCGGATTTGGGACGGTGGCCCGATCCCAAGTAGGCAGGGGTGATTTAACTCGACCTCAGGTCAGCCAAGGGCCCTGAGGGTGCTCAGGAAATAGCCGGGGGCCCTCCAACGGCTGCGCCCGCAGTGTGTGCTGGGATCCCTCATCCTCATCCTCATCCTCATCCTCATCCTCATCCCGGCGGCGGCTCCCCAGCCGGGCCTGGTCCGTCCCGCCAGAAACCCACCCGACCAGAAAGCTGGGCTGACCCTGTGCGCCACTCGGGAAGCACAAAGCTATCAAGGAGAGGGGCTGGGATGGGAACCCTCATCTTTCTGACTCCCCGACTTCCCGCTGCCCGCACGGTGCAGCTCTGTGATGGCCTCAGGCCGGAAGGTGGAGTCCGGTGGAGTCGGGGCCCCTCCGTTTGGACGTCTCCCGGTGGAGTAAATAGCACCCCATACAGTGAAGTGTGAGATGTCCCCTTTGCCAGGAAATCAGGCGATCAGGGGTCCCGGGCAGCGTGGCGGCACCCCTCGGGGTAAGGTGGGGTGAGGAGACTCAGGGTCCACCTGTGGTATGTCCACCGTCCCCAAAGCCAAGGTCCACTTTTCTGGGCCAAGTGACCTTAGGGATTCACTCCCTCCCTCAGAAATCCCCTTCCTCCCGGACTTCCTGGCTGTATCCCCCTCTCCTCCCCTCTCTCACCATTCCCTGGGGCTCACTGGTCGCACTCTCTGACTCAAGTCCATTCAGGGTTCTGGCTTTATCGCCCCACTCTGTCAGGGTGGCTCCCAGTACCAGCTCTCAGGCCTGCCCGAATGGAACTCCAGACCCCAGTCTGCAAATGTTCTAGTCCTGAGTGGCTAACTCCACTGGGGCCCGCAGGCACCAGGCAGGATTTTCAGCCCCCAGTGTGTGCCTCCCTGCTGGCACCAGGCGCCCCAGCCCAGGGCTCCCTAGCTCCTTGCAGGACTGTGGGATTACCGTCCAGCTGGTCATCGTGGCCCGGAGCCCATCCACCCTGACAGAGCCTCTTCTTTATAAACAGACGTTTCTCGTTTCTCCTGCTCGCTCCTCGGGGCCTGTGCCCGCCCCTGGAGGAACTGTGTTGGTCTGCGAGGCTGACATCTGTCTCCCCGGATTGGCCTGAGCTCCCGGAGACACGATTCTGACTTTCCCTTCTCCATACCCCTGGCCTGGCACTTAGTAGACAGACAGTGACTATGTAGTTGATGATCTTGCGATGAGCTGAAACTTTTTTTTTAAGAATTATTTCATTTAACTTTATTTATTTATTTATTTTAATTTGACTAGAGAGGGACAGAGCAAAAGAGAGAAAGTAAAAAAGCAAGCCGCCAGGTTCAGGACTTGAACCGCGGTTGGCCATGTGGGAGTCCAGCACACACTCAGGTGGGAGTCCAGCACACCCTTAACCACCATGCCACCTGCCGGCCCCAAGTTGGAACTTTTTTATGACACGATTTATAGACAGTAAAACATTTCCCTGTGCACCGTGTGACATTTCTCCCTACATAAATCCAGTCCGTCCCCATTAGCAAGTGCACACGTGTGCGTTGATGGGGATTTTTTTTTGAGTTTGCATATGGTTGCAGAGTAAGACTGACAATAAAATGAAAACGTTTTCCAGGTAAGTGCAGTTGATACTAAGGGGGTTTTCTAGCTTCATCTCAATGTCCAGTCCTGCCATGGTGATTCTCTTCTGCTTTCCTCAGACATTGGACCAGACCTAAGGAGAGTACTCCCACTGCAAGAGCCACAGCGTTCATCATGGCTTCAGTGTCTACTCATGGAAACCAGGAGAAAGGGCACCATGCGCCCCCGCTGAGCAAGCAGGTACATTCTGAATATGGGGAGGGGAGTCTGCCATTCGAAGACACATACCACATGGGACTTTCATCAAACCTCATCCTGGGGCCAGCCAGTGGCATGGAGGTTGAGGCGGCTGGATCCCACATGGCCAGCTACTCGGTTCAAGTCCTGGTTGTGGCAGCTTGAAAAACATGCTGGGCATAGGACCAGCAGGTGGCAAGGTGGTTAAGGTGCTGATTTCCACATGGTCGACCACGGTTCAAGTCCCAGATCTGGTGGCTTGAAAATCACACCAGAGTGTGTGTGCCCTAACTCCTGAGAGGAGAATGGAGGAGGAGGGATTGTGGTGGGGCCATCTCCCTGGGGATGATTTCTCACCCGTGGGTGATTTATCACTTCCCCTCTCTGTCTCTGTTTCTGTTGAGCAAATTACCTTTGATTTTTCTTTCAAAAAGAGGAAAAAAAAGAAAACCTCATCCTAACCATTACTCTTTCTCCTTTTTGTCAGTCTGGCACTTTGTTTGATGGGTCCAGGGAATTGAAATGGGGAAAGAAAATGTGCTTTGGCTGCCTTAAAAATAAGCTTCTTGGGAACCAGCAGTTAGTGTAATGGCTATGTCACTGGACTCCCACATAGTCGACCGCGGTTCACGTCCCGGACCCAGTGGCTTAAAACTCACGCCGGGCGCGTGTGCGTGCGTGCCCAAGATCCCAAGAGGAGAATGGAGGAGAAGGGATTGCGGCGTGACCATCCCCTCTGGGGGATGATTTCTCGCTTTCTGTCTCTATATCTCTCTCTGTCTGTCTGGCAAGCGCACGCGCCCTATAGCGAAAATCTCTCTCTCTCAAAAAAAAAAATTAAGCTTCTTAAAAATTTGCTTACAAAATTTTTCCTTACTATTTTCTGTTTAGGATAACTAATTTACCTAACTTGTAGATAGGCTGTCAGTGACCAAAGAGATCTCCCGTAGCAGAGCATAGCTCCTAATGAAATCTAACAAAATGATAATATTGCTTATTTTTACTTTTTTTTTAATAGGCATGTGCTGCTGACAGGTGAACCTGTTCAGGATAGCAGAGTTCTTAATTACCAGTCAGCCACCAGGCTAAGGTCCCGAGTGTTGACATGAACACAATTTTTCAGCTTGTAAGGACTGAATATAGAAATGTATAAAAGGAGAAAAAGAAAGTATTTGATGGGTAAATGAAGTTCATGTTCTCAAGAGTCAATTTTTCAAACCAAAATTTGTTTTGGCGGAGATATGTTTAAGAAGCACAGTTTAGAAAGTACAAATAGACAAGCGATATCAAGTCGCAAGGAGAAGAATGTGGACACTCAAGTTCCCTCTGTGAAATGGAGAGCCATAAGACATTTATGGCCATGCAGAAAAGGATCACCAGAGCTCCTTCTGAGAGATTCTGCAGGGACACTATTCTTGACTGTAGGACTCATAGCAATTGTGATAGTCGAGATAGGTATACAAGGGGCTTTCAGAAAGTTTATGGGAAATACATATGATGAAAAGATAATACATGGATTTCAAAAATATTTTTCTGATAACCCAGTAGATGGTGATGATGGTTGTAGAAAACTTTGGACGTACTTAATGCCACTAATTTGCATACTTGAATCACTATGGAGCCAGCCCAGTAACACAGTGGTTAAGCACTGCATTAGTCAGGGTTCTCCAGGGAGATAGACCAATATCTCTGTAGAGATATGTAAGATGGGATTTATTGGGAAATCAAGTCATTCGATTATGTTAGCTGAGAAGTCTCACAGTGGACTGCAATGTGGAGAATCTGGGATTACAATAGCAGGGATCAGCCCAAGTATGAGGCTCTCTGTATTCATTCTCTCTAGGCCCCTTGTTGATTGGATCATGCCTGCCCACAGGGAGGGCAGCTCTTCATATCTAATATACTCAGATGTTACTCTCATGTTAATCCCTTCTGGAAACCCCACACAGGCAAACTCAGAATAATGCTTCTCCTCAATATTCCTTAGTTCAGTCAGGTTGATACCCAATCATCACAAACACTGGTGCAGAGGCAGCTAGATTCCATGTGGCCTACCAGGGTTTGAGTCCTGACCCCAAAGACTTGAAAAGCCTGGGATCCTGACGTGATGGAGAATTGAAGGAAAAAGGATTATCATGTGACTTCCATTGAGGAGGGCCCTCACTCCCTCTCCCTCTTTCTCTCTCTTTCTGGCACACTTGTGCCCTCTGTAATAAAACTTATTTTTTAATTGATGAACTATTATTGTTATTATTATTATTAGTTTTTTGCCATAGGGAATGTGCACTCACTAGAGAGAGGCAGAGAGAGAGAAAGTGAGAAGTCATCCCCCAGGGAGATGGCCACATCACAATCCCTTCTCCCCCATTCTCTTCTCGGGATTTTGGACACATACCCATACATGCCCAGCATGATTTTGAAGCCACTAGGTCCAGGACTCAAACCATGATTGGCCACGTCGGAACTCAGCACCTTAACCACCACACATCAGCTGCTAGCCCCTTGATTAATTAATTTTTAAAATAAATAAAATAAGATAGCTAAAAGGTTAAATATTGTGTTATGTGCATTCTATCACACTAACAAAATGTGGGCTGGTCCCATAGCCTGGTGGTTAAGACAGCTGGATCCCATACGGCTCACTGCTCTGTTTGAACCCACCCCTGGCAGCTTGAGAAACACCAGGCGCCTGTACGTGTGTGCCTGGAATACCAATGGAATGGAGAAGTGGATAAGAATGACTGGGCCCCATTGCAAGGAGCTTGCTGCTTCTCCTTCTCCTTCTGTGTCTCTCTGTCTGTATTTGGCAAGCACATGTGCCCTCTGGACTTTTTTTTTAATGTAATGAACCAATATATTAAAAACATTGCAGCCAGGTTCAGTTTCAGGGATTTCTTCAACACTAGAGGAGAAGGGTAGTGAGGTTGAAGAATAAGTAGACATGCTCAAACACATCAGTTATCAAAGAAATGCAAAGAAAACAATAAGATATTACTCTAGACCTCTTAGCTTTGAATACCGGATAATGCCTAGTGTTGTAAAACCCTTTCTTTCCTCTACCTTTCTTGGAACCGTACCTTCTCATAACTAGCACCCAACACAATGAACATTGTGCAAGAATACATAAAAAACAAAGACACATATTCAACACCCAGAATGGCTGTGGTGGGCGGAGGAAAATGAGGGCTTGTGAATGATTCATACATACTCCAAAGGGGAGGGGCAGTCATAAAAGATTATAGCATATCAACATGATTAAAAATACTGCAGATCAGGACCAGCAGGTGAGGTGGAGGTCAAGGTGCTGGATCCCACACTGCTGTCTTTACGGTTCAAGTCCTGAACCTGGTGACTCGAAAATCACTCTGGCACATGAGCACGCGTGCCCCAAAAGTCATGAGTAGAGAAGAGATTGCAGTATGGTCATCCCCCCAGGGGGGTGATTTCTCACTTTCCCTCTCTCCATCTCTCTCTGGCGAATGCACATGCCCTATAACAACAATAAAATACTGCAGAGTTAGTCAAAATAATTAGCCGTGCTGCCCCGTGGCCTAGTGGTTAAGAGAGTATAGATCCCACTTGACCTACTATGATTGGTGACCTGGCCCCAGGGAACTTGAAAACCACACTGGGCATGCGTACATGCATGCTCTGAATCCCAACAGGAAGGAGAAATGGAGGAGAATGAATTGCAGTGTGATCACACCCCATTGGGGGTGCTTTCTCCACTTCCCCCTCTTTCTCTGTCACTCATTGGTGAAATTATGGGCAGACCATTTATAAATGTGTTTTTAAAAACTCAAGATGGATAGTAAACTATGTAGAATAATAGGCAGTTTGTTGATAAGTTAATCATCTAAAAATGCATACAGGGAATCAATAGTACAGATATATAGATGACTTGTAATATAGTGCTCTGGGTACAATCCCTGAGGTCTGAATATTGTGCTGTAGGGGAATCGGGCTTTACCCAGGGAGGGCTGTAGGGACAGCAGGCCACATGGACAGAAGGGTGGAAGATGAAAGATGACGTGGCCTCAGCAGCCACTCAGCCTGCCAGGTTGTCCGCCAGGTGTGTGGTCTGCGTGCGCATCAGTGAATCAATCTGGCTCTGACCGGGCTTCTTTCCTTTCCTAAGTGCATCCAGCCTCCCAGCTAGGAGACAGTCATGGAAGCTGGTTGTGGCTCCATGCTGGTCCAGCACAGAGTGTGTGCCATGTCAACGAGGAGACCACCTGCTCTCCAGAGAAAAGCAGCACTTTTCTAGCTAAAGGAAATTAACCGGCCATGCAATTTTCCTTACAGAGCCTGTTGTTTTGTCCAAAATCGAAACTGCACATCCACAGAGGAGAGATTGCAAAGATTATCCGAGAGTGTCAAGAAGAAAGCTTTTGGAAGAGAGGTAACTGCACTCCTCTTCGCCTCAGTTAACACTGTATTTGCTGCAATGAACTGCCTAAATATCATATTAGAACCACAGTAATGATGTGTTTCTGAGCAGGAACTTTGCATAAATTCTTAAAGAACTTTGACATTTGGGAATGTTTAGAGCTTAAGTTCGTGTTGAGCCCTTTCTAGGGCAAAAATAGTATCTTTATCACCCATAGCAAAAAGTGACGCACACATGATTCTTCCCTGCACGTGACCCAGAACATGTAATAAGACTTGTTACTGGGCCAGAAGGTGGCATGGCGGTTATGACGGCTGGATCCCACATGGCTGACTGCGCAGTTTGAGTCCCAGACCCGGTAGCTTGAAAAACACACTGGGTGTGTGTCCCTGTGTGCCCAAAATCTCAAGAGTAGAATAGAGGAGAAGGGATTGTGGTGGTGTAGCCATCCACTCTGGAAGGTGATTTCTCACTACCCTCTTCTCTCTGCCTCTTGAGTGAGCACATGCACCCTATAGCAAAAGTAAAAATGAATAAGTAAGAGAATTATTACTTAGAATTTTGTTGACTATCAGAAGTTAGACTCTCCTAAATTCCACTAGAGCTCAGAAGTAACGTCAGGTTCATCTTGGACTTCATCTCTGAGTCTAGCACAATACCACACACACAGAGAAAATACCTCTACACTCGTGGAGTGAATGAAAAATGGCGGTACTTGTCTTCCATTTACATCGTTCCTGAAATAACCTTTCTGCTGAGCACTCCCCTTTCCCTGCCTGCCCTACAGAAGACAAGGGTATAAATTCAGGCTGTTAGGGCTCTTCGAGTTTAAAGAATTCATGATTCATCACTTGAAAATGCCATAAAAGCCTAGAGATCTGGCCTTAATCTTTTGCAACATTGCCAACACAATGTAATTTATACTTGGAGTATAAATCATGTTGATTTCTTAAATCATTTAAATTCACGGTTAAATAAAGCAGAAGTAACACTGGAAGTTGGCCTTGCATGTGCATGGCCGCGATTACAGATTGTGCTTCTAAAAATTCATGTGTTTCCTGGCAGGTCATAGCAAGTGGGTTACTTGGGCCCAAGTAGATTCACATCTCACTAGGGCATATTCACCTGTCGTCAGTAGCTAGGAGTGGAAAAGTGGGTTGCTGTTGGGTTTGTCTTGGTTGCTGGGAAGACCTAGAGGTTTGTCACTGTTCTCTCTGCCTTTGCGGAAAACCATTTGACACAGTTTAAGAGAAGCGGGAACCCTCTTTGCCAGACTAAGTTGCCTGTTTTTAAACTCATAGCTAGGTTGGCCCCCCTAGCGCGATAGTCAAGGGTTCCTCATTCCACACAGCTGACTGTGGTTAGAGTCCCAGCCCTGGCAGCTTGAAAAACGTGCTGGGTGCCTGTGCATACCTGCCCAAAACCCCAACAGGAAGGAGAAATGGAGAGGGGACTGTGGCATGACCACACCCCACTGGTAGTGCCTTCTCCCTCTCTCTCTCTCTTTCTGGCAAGTGCATATGCCCTCCAACAATTCAAAAAAATAAATAAATACATTTCTAAAATCATAGCTAAACATTGCACATGTTTAACACAAGTGTAGTCATCTTGTAATCTTCGATCTGGATCTTCAGGGTAAAAGAAGGCAGGGAACTTCCCTAGACTAGAGCAGATTAACATATTACAGAATAAATATAATAATGATCCTTGATTTTCTGGATTACAAAAAATTGACCGCTTTAAATTACAGTATTGGGCCAGTTGGGAGATTTCAACAGAGATTGTATACTGGTTTATGGAAATCTTCTTGAATATGAGTATTCAAGAAAGATACATTTATTGGGACCAGCAGTTAGCGTAATGGCTATGTCGCTGGAGTCGCATGTAGTCAACCGCAGTTTGCGTCCCGAACCCGGTGGCTTAAACTCATGCCGGGCGTGTGTGCATGCGTGCCCAAGATCCCGAGAGGAGAATGGAGGAGAAGGGATTGCGGTGTGGCCATCCCCCCTGGGGGGTGATTTCTCGCTTTCTTTCTCTCTGTCTCTCTCTGTCTGTCTGGCAAGCACACGCGCCCTATAGCGAAAACCTTTCCAAAAAAAAAAAAAAAGAAAGATGCATTTATTGAACTTGCTAATGATGCTGAGATTATGCAAGGACTGTTCTTGTTCTTAGAAGATACCTACTAAAGATATTCAGGAATGAATGAAGAGTCATGTTTGCAAATTTCTTTTCTTTTTTCTTTTTTTTTTTTTCTTATTTTATTTTTTTTTTTTTTGAGAGCTTTTTGCTATAGAGTGTGTGCACTCACCAGAAGGACAGAGAGAGTCAGAAAGCGAGAAATCACCTGCCCTCCCCCCAGGGGATGGCCACACTGTAATCCCTTCTCTTCCATTCTCCTCTCAGGATCTTGGGCATGCACACACACACACATGCCCAGCATGAGTTTACTGGGTCCAGGACTCGAACCACGGTCAACTACATGGGAGTCTAGCAACATAGCCATTATGCCAACTGCTGGTTCCCATGTTTACAAATTTCAAATGGCTCAGAAAAATGAAAAGGAGAGAGAACACAAATTTGACAATTAATGGATCTAGAAGAAGGCTACTCAGGAGTTTCTTGTGCTGCTTTTAACACTTACATCATAGCAAATTTCGAGGTGTATAGCTGAAGGCAGCTCCACTCAACAGTGAGGTGGATGTACATGCCAAGATGCCCATGTGGCGTGTAGTCATTGGTCCCTGGTGTGAGTCAGGGGTCAGATGTGCACCTCAGAGGTGGAGGAGCTCGGAGTTTAGGTTTCGGCAGATAATACTGTACTATCTGGCTGGGTGACTTGGGCAGATCCCGAGGGAATTTGTCACGTAGTCGTTCAGTGAAATTTCATCAAGGGCCAGCCTGGTGTCGTGTGGTTCAAGTGTCATTGCATGGTTCAAGTCCCAAACCTGGCGACTTAAAAAAACACACCAGGCACGTGCGCATGCATGCCCAAATCCCAGCAGGAGAAGGGAGAAGGGATTGTGGCGAGGCCATCCCCCACGGGGCTGCTTTCTCACTTTATCTCCCTCCTCCCAACGAGCACTTGCACACTATAGCAAACACTGAGAGTAAAAAAGTTGGTCGAATAAGTAAAATAACGAATAAAAGTCCACTGGGAAGGAAGGTCAGAGAAAAAGCTCTAATAGTTCTCCTTGACTTCTGCGAGGTGCCCCGTTTTCCAGGACCGATACTGAGGGGCCTTTTTGTCTTGCAGCCCTGCCGTTTTCTCTCGTAAGCATGCTCGTCACCCAGGGACTCGTCCACCAAGGTAAGATGCACCTTTGTTAAATCCTCTGGCTTCAGAGAGCCCTGCGTTCTGTGATTCTTCTGGCCGTTTTTTGGCCCTTGGCATTTATCTTGGGGTGAAGGATTTACTTACACAGGCTTTTGCCTAGTTTCCACCTCAGTCCCTACCTCCCCAGAGGGGTCTTAATCCTTGGCTGAATGACTACGCTAGGTTACATGGCAAAGGGAAATCAAAGCTGCAGATGGAATTCAGGTCGTTCATTAACTGACTTTAAAATAAGGAGATGAGGGGTCAGCAGGTGGCGTGGGGGTTAAGACACTGGACTCCCACATGGCCAACTGTGGTTCGAGTCTTGGACCAGGCAGCTTACTTTCTCACTTTCTCTCCCTCTCTCTGTCTCTCTCTCTTTGCTGAGCATGCAGCCTGTAGCAAATTATATAATGATGATGGTAAATAAAATAATTCTTAAAAAAAAATGAGATTATCCTGGATGATTCAGGTGGGCTGACAGCAATCAAAAGTATCCTTAAAAGAGAACAAGGGAGGCCAGCTGCATGGCCTGGTGGTTAAGACAGCCAGATCCCACATGGCTGACCACACAGTTCAAATCCCAGAGCCAGCTGCTTGAGAAACATGCCAAGTGCGGGCGTGTGGGAGCCCCAGATCCCAACAGGAGGGAGTGAAGAGATTGCGCATGACCATCCCCCATGGGAGGTGCCCTCTCCTCCTCTCCTCCTCTCTGTCTGGCATGCCCCAGAGAAGAAAAAAGGGGAAGGGGGCCAGAAGACAGAACCGGGGAGGGAGGGCGCAGACTCCGCACAGCACGGCTGAAGGGCAGAAGGAGTGCAGGCGGCCTGTGGCCTACGGAAGCCAGAAGCCAACCCTGGACCCCAGAAGGGGATGCCGCCCACTAAGGGGTGCAGGTAAAACACCGGGCACTCAGGGTGGCCTGTTCCGTTCTCACCCCGAGGACCGTATGATAAAAGGAATTCTGTCGTTTTAAATCACTAAATGTGTAGCGATCTGTTACAGCAGCCCGAGGGAGAGAGTACAGCCTGTTCCCTGGACCCGAGTTCATCTCAGGCCTCTCTTCCAGCTTCCAGATGCCACTCTTGTTCCCTGCTGGTGGTGACCCTTCCTGGGTCTTCAAGGCCAGCCACAGAGCCAGCGTCTCTGCTGCCGTCTCTCTGGTCTGTCTGATTCCCTCCTCTGCATGTGAGGACCAGGGCGTGGCACTGGGCCCCTGGTCACCCAGGACACTCTCCCTATTCGAACGTTACTGAGCAGCAGCCTTGACTCCAGGTGCCACTGTCATTCCCCGGGATGTGATGACATACTGTGGTCCCAGGGGTCAGGGCGTGGACCTCCAGAGGAGGGCTTTACCTCGCCTGCCGCAGCTGTAATGTTTTCACTTCCAAACCATCACATAGATGTACCGTGACTCTCTGACAGAGACGGCCTCTTCTTCCTCCCATCAAGAGGAGGGGAGTGACGCATTTCTTCGACCTGGGTCCTTCGCTCCCCTCGTTTGCTGTCTTTAACTCAGTCTTCAGTTGTCCGTGTCGTATATTTTTCTAAATCTTAAAGCTAGTATTTGCTGTGGGCCTAAAAGGACTATCTGGGATTAAATCCAGCCAAGGATTGAACCATATAACCCTTTTAAGATCATCTTGAATTCAGAATATGTGTATGTTTCAGAAAGAAATTTTATGTCTTAAATTTTGAAGCCTTCGTAAATTGCAAAGCTTTCTTTATATATTTAAGTAAGTTACGACATAAAATGATGTATTTATATTATCATTCTTCAGGTTACTTAGCAGCTAATCCACGGTTTGGATCGCTGCCTAAAGTTGCACGTAAGTCATAGAATTTTTTTTTAAATTTCATTTGGAAAAGGTATTTATAGCAGTTGGAGGTCTGAGTGTCCTCAAACCACATCACCTGTACTGACCGAAAAATCAGTCTGCGTTTTCTCCACTTTGCATTTTGCAGTTCATTCAGCACTTTTTGTTTCAACTTTATTTATTTCTTCCATGACTGAGAGAGATAGAGTCTTATGACTGCAACCACCCTCGCCTCGGCCAGGCCTGGACCATGGGCACACGCATGCCAGGGGCACTCGGGAGGTCTCCAGATGTGACCCCAGAACCTACCTGTGTGCTGCAGCCTCACACAGTGCCACCTGCTACCCCATACCCTGCCCAGCCGCCATCCACACCGCCTGCTGTGTGGTTCGGCCAGAACTCTGCGCACGGTCCTCTGAACATGACCCATCCCCAGCAGAGCCTCCGAATGATAGTCATCTGGGATTTTATGCTCCTTTCTGGCCTAGCCAGTCTTTTCAAAATGGTTTCTATGATGAACATAAGTAATGAGTCATTTTTATTTTATTTTATTTATTTATTTCTAGGTTTTTGCCAGAGGCGCATGCGCTTCCTGGACAGAGAGGGAGTAAGAAATCATCCCTCCCATGGGGCATGGCCGCACACAATCCTGCCTCCTCCATTCTCTTCCTGGGATTTTGGCCTTGCACACACACGCCCAGCATGATTTTCAAGCCACTGGGTCCAGGGCTCGAACCCATGACCAGCCACGTAGCAGTCCAGGACTTTAAACACGACATCACCTGCTGGTCCCCGAATGAGTAATTTGTATAAAGCAGAGAGTTTGTGATCGTTTCCTACAAACTTGGGTTGCGTCTTCCTCCCCTTGACATACGCGGACTGTTATGTAGAAAGCGGTCACATTCCAGTTTGCTGTCGGACCTAATGCCCTGCAGGAGAAACAGGCTCGAGATCTCATCCATAGGAGGCTTCCTCGTCCCGGGCCTCTCTCCTACAGGCCAGGTGTGCTGCAGCTCCCCACTACTCCAGGTCCCTATGGAAAATTCGGGAGCAGGACCAGCAGATGGCGTGGTATGTTGCTGGACTCCCACATGGCCGACCGCAGTTCAAGGCCTGGACCTGGGGGCTTAAACTCACGCTGGGCATGTATGTGTGCATGTGTGCCCAAAATCTGGAGAGGAGAATGGAGAAGGGATTGCAGTGTGGACATCCCCCTGGGAGGTGATTTCTTGCTTTCTGTCTCTCTGTCTCTGTCTCTCCAGTGAGCACACATGTCCCATAACAAAAATCTCTCTAGAAAAAAAAAAATACAGGAAATTAGGGAGCTTTCTACTGGAGATTTGGAGGCCACCCTACGGCTGCGGCTCAGACTCCACCTCTCCCTGTGTGGGTGGCCTCAGCACTGGTTGTCAGCCTCTGGAGCACCTTAGCTTGCTCTGTCCCTGCCCCTCTGCAACCACTCTGCAAAGCTGAGATTCCAAGGTCTCCAGTTCCCAGGTCCTAATAATAATAAAAATTATTAGTGGTAGATCAGGTGGTGGTGGTTAGGGCAGCTAGATCCCATAAGGCCCACCGTGAGGATCAAGTCCTGGACCTGTCAGCTTGGAAAACATGCCAGGGCTTGTGCATGCATGCCCAAAATCCTGAAAGGAGGAACCACTGTGCAAAGCTGAGATTCCAAGGTCTCCAGTTCCCAGGTCCTAATAATAATAAAAATTATTAGTGGTAGATCAGGTGGTGGTGGTTAGGGCAGCTAGATCCCATAAGGCCCACCGTGAGGATCAAGTCCTGGACCTGTCAGCTTGGAAAACATGCCAGGGCTTGTGCATGCATGCCCAAAATCCTGAAAGGAGGAGAAAATGAAGGCGAGGGGATTGCAGCATGGCCACAACCCATGGACTTTCTCACTTCCCCCCTCGCTTTCTGTCTCTTTCTAATAAGTGCACACAGCCCCTAGCAAATTAAAAAATACATATATTAGTGTTGGGGCTGGCAGACGGTGTGGTGGTTAAGGCAGCTGGATTCCCACATGGCTGACAGTGGTTCAAGTCCCAAACCAGGCAGCTTGCTTTCTCACTTTCCCTCCCTCTCTCTGGCCAACCTTAAAAATAATAATAATAAAATAAATGAATACAATTTTTAAAAATAAAGTATTAGTGTTTAAAAAAGAAAGTTCTGGAAGATTATTAATAAGGAAGACTGGGGAGAACCTGCAAGTGACTTGGGGGTTAAGGTGCTGGACTCTCACATGGCTGACCACGGTTCAAGTCCTGGACCTAGCAGCTTGCTTTCTCACTTTCTCTTTCAGTCTCTCTCTCTCATGAGTACACGTGCCCTATTGCAAATTAAAAAATAATAGTAAAAATAAACGAAACATTTTTTAAAATAAGGAAGACTGAACCCTTACATTACCTGTCTTTCCAACCCTACAGTCGCTGGCATCTTGGGATTTGGCCTTGGGAAGGCGTCGTACATAAGAGTGTGTCAGAGCAAGTTCCATGCCTTCGAAGACCAGCTCCGCGGGGCCGGCTTCGGCCCAGAGCACAACAGGTTCGTATTCTGTCTGATGGAGGGATTGTAGTGACGGTCATTCGGAAAAACAAAATGAACGATCACGCACTACTTATATCAATTACATTTTTAAACTTCACCTGTTCAGAAAACACAAAACTCTTAAACCCGCAAGCTTCAAGTTGCTCTGCCCAGCTTTGATAATTATTTATTATTTGGGGCCAGCAGGTGGCATGGTGGTTAAGGCACTGGACTCCCTTGTGGCCAACTATGGTTCAAGTCCTGGACCTGGCTGCTTGAAAAAAATCACACAGGCACTTGTGTGTGCAGGCCCAAAATCTCATTAGGGGAACAGAAAAGGGACTGTGGCATGGCCATCCCCCTAGCGGGTGATTTCTTGCTTTCCCTCTCCCTGTCTCTCTTCAGCGAGTACACAAGGCCTATGGCAAAAAAACTTTTTTAAAAAAGATAATTATTGGGACCAGTAGGTGGCATGGTGGTTAAAGACACTGGATTTCCACATGGCCAACCACGGTTCAAGTCCTGGACCTGGCGACTTGCTCTCTCACTTTCCCTCTCTGTCTCTGTCTGATCAAACTGAAAAAAAAATAATAATAGTAATAAATAAAGTTAAATAAAATAATTTTTAAAAAGATAATAATTTCTTATTTAACTCAGTTACCTATTTTATTTGTTCAAAACATTTAACAAGTACATACCACGTTTAAGCCGTTATGCAAGTTTCTGAAGAACACCTTAATGTTGGGACCAGAGGGTGGCATAGTGGTTAAGGTGCTGGATGCTCCCCCATGGCTGACCACGGTTCAAATCCTGGACCTGGTGGCTTGCTTTCTCACCTTCTCTCTCTCTCTCTCTGTGTCTCTCTGGTCAAAATAAAAATGAATGAATGAATAAATAAAGTTAAATAAATAATTAAAAATAATAAAATGTTTAAAAAAAAAAAAGAATACCTTAATGTGCAGAGCTACGGCATCTGCTCTCATAGGTAGAGTTACACACAGTTTCAACAGGCTTCTCCACTGCAGCCTTCTCAGAGCCTTTAATGCACGTGGGCTGTGGTTCCTCATCCACAGAAGGTATAAGCAGTCGGACTTCCGAGTTAGTGGTGGGATCCCTGCTCTTCAAGTGCTTGGGCTGAAGACCAGTTCTTCCACTTAGTAAGTTGTGTGACCTGGAACAAGTTTCTTAACCTCTCTCATCTTCGGTTTGCTTCTCTGTACAAAATGGTGTTCACAATTGTTGCCATGGGACATTGCGAGGGAGAGACTCGATCACTCATGACCCTCAGTAAGTGCTCAGTAAACATTAGCTGTTGCTGCTGCAGGGTTATGGGACTGGTGTTCGGGACACATTTCTCTAGACCCCCTCACTTATCACACTGGATTCTGTCTGAGAGACAGCACGGTAGTGAAAAGAGTATTATCCCAGAAGTAGGGGCATCAGGGACCAGCAGATGGCATAATGGTTACATCCCTGGACTCCCACATGACTGACCATGGTTCAAGTCCTGGACCCAGCAGCTTCAAACTCACGCTAGGCATGTGTGTGTGCGTGCCCAAGATCCCGAGAGGAGAATGGAGGAGAAGGGATTGCGGCGTGGCCATCCCCCCTTGGGGGTGATTTCTTGCTTTCTGTCTCCCTGTCTCCAGTAAGCACATGTGCCCCAAAACCAAAAATATCTCTTAAAAAAAAAAAACAAGAAGAAGTTGGGGCACCCAAGCGTCTCTCTAATCGGGTGGCCTTGGAAAGCCATGCTCCTGTGTCGCAGTGATGGGTGGAACCTTACACACCATCTCCTCGCAGGAGCTGCCCGAGGCCAGAGCGCTGGTTAATGGGGTGCAAAGGTGACTCCAACTTCAGCCCATGATAGCAAGGCCACCAGAGAGTCACTAACCCCCATTCACAACACACCGGCCGTCTTTGCAGATCTGTGCTTAGGGTCAGCTGAGGAGCAACTGACCACACGACCCTGCCCATGTGAGGAAAGCCGAAGGCAGCAACACGCCCAAAGGAGAGAATGTTGATGACTGCTTCTTCCTCTTCAATTTCGGGAATGTCTTTGGCAATTAACCAACCTTGGGGTCCAGAATACTTATGAGCACCAGATTGAGATCTCCATTTTTGCAGATAAAGTCTGTGGTTCTGGACTTCCTGTGTAAAAGGAGTTGGTGGGCAGGTGGTCCCGGGTTCCGTTAAGCACCGTGTTCTGTAGCTCCATCCTGCCTGCCAACTTTCACCCATAGCAGCTCCACTCTGAGCTTACATTCGTTTCTGGAACCCAGCTGCTAAGCCCTGTGTGAAGGGCCATGCCAATATGTCTCAGTGGCGATAATTCACAAAGCTATTCGCTTTGTAGTTAAAGGGAGGGAACCTCGCTATGCCGAGGTGGAGGGAGACTTATGGAAGGGGCATTGGGGAAGACTTGATGCAGAAGGCGAAGGTGCTTGACTCGAATCTGAAATGGCCAGGAGGGGCTACAGCAAGCTTGAAGAGGGAGCTCCAGGGCCAGGAAACAGGCAGAGGTGGGAAGGCTGTTTTATTTTATTTATTTATTTATTTATTTTTGGAGAGGTTTTTTTTTTCACTATAGGGCTTGTGCGCTCACCAGACAGACAGAGAGAGACATAGAGACAGAAAGCGAGAAATCGCCCCCCAGAGGGGATGATCATGCCGCAATCCCTTCTCCTCCATTCTCCTCTCGGGATCTTGGGCACGCACGCACACGCCCCCGGCGTGAGTTTTAAGCCACCGGGTCCGGGACACGAACCGCGGTCGACTACGTGGGAGTTCAGCGACATAGCCATTACGCTAATTGCTGGTTCCTGGGAGAGCTGTTTTATCAAAGAGACCATACATGGATCTATGGCCAGAGCACTCAGACTCCCGGGAATGTCAGAGGACACACAGAGGGCTCGGCAGGTGGAGGCCACTTGAAGGATTTTCCCCCTCATTCTCAAAGCACTGGGATGAAATCGTGAGAAAGGAGGAGAGGAGCGCACTGCCCGTCTCCCCAGGGGTCTCTGCAGGAGCTGCTGGTCTTGCTGCCTTGCCAGGGTTCCTTCTCCTGAAGCCAAAATGGTCTTCCCACCATGTAGGCCTCATCCCATCACCGGCTGCTTCTATACGGGTCTCCCGCTGCAAACTCCTCACAGTAGTAATGCCCGATAAATGCTCATTAAAGTGAATTTGTAAGATTCTAAAACTTTAATTCTGAGAAGAGCCTTGAGGACATCTATTTTTGTGGGTGTGGATCGTACTCTAGAACAAAGCTGTGACTTTTTTTGGTGTTATGCTAGATCTTAAGGAAACTGATACAAGTTGTCCAAACTCAATGCAATGAATTCTGGAAATGTCATTAATTTTTAAAAATTATATCATTTTTTATTTACACATAATTGGACATCTTGGTGGGGTACAATGAGGTTTATCCAAGGATGTGTGTAGTGTGTGATAATGAAATCAAGATTTACCGTATTCAGCATCTTCAACAAAGAGCATTACACTGTGTTTGTTGTACACTTTGAATTCTCGTTCTCCTAGCTGTTCCTCTTTTAATGGAGTTGTATATATAATAAAATTGGCTATGTCCTTTTTTTTCCCGTGGTGGTATATACCGTTCAATAATTTACTTGCCTTGCTGACATGCATTTTGCATCTTTTCATCTTTTTTCCTTAAGCTCTTCTCCCCAGTCCAGTCCCCCACCCCAGCTCCCCACCTCCCTAATATCTTTTATTTAAGAAACTTAAACGTGTATATGTATGCACATGTGTCCAACTCCATAGGAATGTAGTGAAATCCCCAATTAATATGCTATGTATTTTGTGACTTTTATGTATGTGCTATTCGTAATTCTAATCAGTAGCACAAATTCAAAAAGAGTCAAAACATTCCAGCCCCGTGTGACTCTGACCACAGAATGCTCCCATTGGTTTCAATATAAAGATCGCCATCAGTTCTTTGGGGGGATAACATTCTGGGGGTCATAAAGAGAGAATTATTGCTATTCCTGAAACAAGTGGGCTAATGAACGTTAGTGTGGAAAATGTCTCTCAATAGTACTGTGTTAAGACTGGCACTTCCGCGTCGACCTTCAAACCACTGTCTCTTTTTGCTTTTCTTTCAGGCACTGTCTGCTTACCTGCGAGGAATGCAAAATAAAGCATGGATTAAGTGAGAAAGGAGGTTCACAGCCTTCAGCTTCGTAAACTCTGTGTCTATGACTTTTGAAGTTTTTAAAAACGCTGAATTTGTACACATTGAAAATTTCGAGTATACTTTAATAATTATACTTCTAGTGGAACAAAACGTTTTGACTCCCTCACTCTATTGAAATGTTTCCTGTGGAAGGCACTCAACCGGGTTGAACTGAATTGTTTTTCTATTTAAGTACAGACCCTTACACACCAAAAAAATGATGTTGCATTCCACTGTGCTTGCAGTGAAGCACAAGAAGTCAGAATCTTCCATGGGAACCAGCAGTTAGCATAATGACTATGTTGCTGGACTCCCACGTAGTCAACTGTGGTTTGCATCCTGGACCCGGTGGCTTAAAACTCACGCCGGGCGCATGTGTGTGCATGCCCAAGATCCCGAGAGGAGAATGGAGGAGAAGGGATTGCGGTGTGGCCATCCCCCCGGGGGGTGATTTCTCGCTTTCTGTCTCTCTGTCTCTCTCTGTCTGGCGAGCGCACACGCCCTATAGCAAAAAAAAACTCTCAAAAAAAAGGAAAAGGAGAAGTCAGAGTCTTCCTGACTAGCCCGGCCATTCTTTTCATCTGCTTTCTACCCCACGGCCTTAAGTTTTCCAATAGAGGGCAGGAGTGAATGTTGAGGATTTCAGGAAGTCCTGGCACAAGGGAAATTCATACGTACGGAGGTGTACATACAGGGCACGGCTACGTCTTGTCGGTAAGAGAAGTACTTCCTAAAATGTAGGGGTGATGGTTTTTAACTTCATGAACAGTATTTCATTGAACAGAGTTACGGTACAAATCAATGGTCCTTTTGGTGCTCGGGTGACTTTATGGCTCATCAGAGAGGAGCCACTTTGGACAGGCCCGTTGGCTCCAGGTGACCTGCTCAGGTGCTCATGGTGACACCGAAGAATTATACGAGACTTGTGGCCTAAGAATGAACACATCTTCCTGAACTGTCCTTGTCCTCCCAAGGGACAGCTGGTTTTGGGGTGGAATCACTGGAATATTCATTCATAGAACAATAAACCTAGAACTGTAGGAGCTCAGAGGTGGCTGATGCAACTCAAGGGTTGCTGTTCTCCTGTCCTCTTGCCAGGTTTGTTGCATGGAAAAAAATTGTTTTGGAAGGGGATTTTTTTTTTTTTAAGTGGGTTGTCTGAACCTATTGCAAAGCCTTCTCTTGCATGGCATCTTCTCAGGGAAATGCTGCCTACGCAGGCCCGTCTCTGTGACCACGATGTGTGCACATTCATGTTTTACTTACTCCATCCTGAAGCCTGTCCCATGAAGGTACAAAGGGAAATCTCATCAAAAGCTAAAACTTAATGAGAAATATTTGAAAGTTTGTATTGTCACATGATGATGAATCAGATGAAATGGAGTAATTCTGACTAAGTTTCTGTTTATATTACTTACCCTTTTTGTCAATAAAGTTCTATTTCTGTGAATCTAAACACAGAGCCGAGGTCCCGGCCTCTGGAGGCAATTAACTGTCGGCCCTGACAACTAGCAGTGGGCGACTGTCTTCTCTCAGCTCGGGACTGGGCACCTCGTTTCCGGCCTCGCTGACCAGGAGATCCTGGGATCAGAACAGTCACGTTGCGAGGCACAGCGTCAATGTCGAAGTCGGTCTCCGGGTACTGGGAAAAGGCATTTATTGTGTTGACAGGAACATCACCTCACTGCTGGCAGCTCATTGTTCTTCTCGGATTGCGTTTACTGCTCGGGTTTTGTGCTTTTCCCACGTCTAGTTATTCGTTGAAGCAGTTTACATGGTGACCCATCTTCATGTGAAGAGAACTCAATGAGGAAAACACTGGAAGGCCCCCCAGGAGGTCTGGGCCACTCTGCTGTGGGTTCACTGAACATCGTAGGAGGCAGGGAGCTGGGGAGAACATCCATCTGTCTCAGTGCTTCGTCAGCACCATTACCAAGTGGTTCTAGGCTTAGGAGAGTGGTGCCTTCATAATGAAAATAAATAACCAAATTGGCAAAGAACGGGGTAAGACTGTAGGTAAGGGCTGGCCCTGTTGCACAGTGGTTAAGCCCTGTGCATAGGAACCAGATCCCACATGGCTGGCCACAGTTCAGATCTCGACCTGGCGGCTTGAAAAACACGTTGGACACATATACACACCCAGAATCCTCTCGGGATGAACAGCTAGAGGGAAAAGGTCTGCAGCACGGCCACCCCCGCTGGGGAAGACTGTCTCTTTCTCCCCTGAGCCTATGTACCCTCTGGCAGTTAAAAAAATTAAAAGCATGCATGAAAGAAATAACCGATGAGACTATACAGTGAAAGTTGGATGTCTAACCACCTTTATCCGTCAACTCTCCCTGTATGAAGAAAACGGGAAAATCCCATTATTTTGAACTTGGTTCATGGAATTTTAATGTAACTTTGATTTACTTTGCCCATGAGTGTACCTAGAATGGACCATGAAGGCGCAAAGCCCCGTCTGAAAGCAGCGAGCCGCGTCAACACATCTGTAGTTCATCTAACAAGAGGCCTTACCACAGGAGAATAGCACTGAGGACAGGACGTACCCAACCGGGAGACGTCAGGAAGATTTTCTTTTTTAATACCAGCAATGCCTAGACGCTCGTTTCTCTCTTGGGCATCACGTAAGTGGATGACTAGAACAGACCCTCTCAAGATTCTTCCAGTTTCCAAGCCGTTGACCAAAATTCCACTCACTGTTAGCTAAGGGAGTTCTTCTCTGAATGTCGGTTCAATCTGTGTGATCCTGGAGTTCAGAAGCTTCTGCCGGAGTTAAGCTGCGCTGAGTGAAATGTATGTTTCACCACCAGAACAACAGTAACTCTTCTATGTTTGTTTCTCTTGTCAAAATAGATCCAAATTTCCAGGAAGATGTGTTTGTTTTTCTCTGCAGCAAGTTCTTGCACATACAGGCACTTCGTGTGTCAGCCTAAACCTGGCTACAAAAGCACTTTTCATTCCTCTCTTGTAATAGTTTTATTTATGTATTTATAGATAAAGAGGTTTTTGCTATAGGGCGCATGCGCTCACCAGGAAGAGAGAGACAAAAAGCGAGAAATCACCCCCCCGGGGGGGGTGGGTGGCCACGCTGCAATCCCTTCTCCATTCTCCTCTCAGGATCTTGGGCACGCACGCACATGCACCCAGTGTGAGTTTAAGCCACTGGGTCCGGGACTCAAACCTCGGTCAACTGCATGGGAGTCCAGCAACATAGCCATTACGCCAACTGCTGGCCCCCGTATTCGCTTTTAAATACTGGAAAGTGTATTTCTCCGGAGTCTGGCAAAGGGCGGCAGTTCTCACTCACTGGGGTGGGTTTCCAGCCCCGTCACACCTGACCTTGGGCACCCTCTGGACCGTGTTGGTAACTCACAGATGCAGAAATGGATGGGCCCGTTCCGAGGAACACAGGGCAGTCACACCTGTTCCAGGCATAGGACCACGTGTAAGGGTGGCTCTGCACAGGCCCTGTGCTCCCTGGCCAGGCTCCACCACTCACGGGCTATCTGCCTTTGGGTTGTTTCCTCGCCTGCAAACCTGACAGGTGGTTAATGAGAATTAAATGAGTTGACAGCTGTAAGACGCTTAGAGCTGTGCAGTTCCCCTCAGCCCCTTGATGGATGTCTGCTGCCCCTGAGAGGCCATGTGCTCGTCATTCCTCGGGCCACGCTGGGTCATGCTACACTAGCCTGCCATCAGGCCTGCCTGACATGTCCACAGCTGGCCGGCCTGAAGCACATGGCAGCACGGCAGCACGGCACTGCCGTCGGGGTGACAGCGCCGCCTGCAGGCCGCTACCTGCCCCCCCCCCCCCGCCTTCCCCCGCACCACCCCCAGCTCTGCTCAGCACAGAGCAAGCTCAGAGTCTCTGAGCCGAGAACCACTGTCCCACCGGGATCTGCACGTCCAGTGGCCCTCGTAAGGGCTCAGATTTTGACCAAATGATTGTCTTCTAAAAGCAGAATTTCCTATTATACAACAGACTTCAAACAGAGTTTGGCATATAAGAGTCTCTCATTCCTACACGTGGGTGGGTCAGGAATGGGATAGCGATGTAGAGGGACTTGAGAGGCAGCTGTCAATGACAGGGGGCTAAGATGTCAACAGGAAGGACCCTCCCTGCATAACGTTTTAAAAACTGGGGCCATCACCACAGGTCTTTTGATTTGGAAACCAGACTTTAAAAAAAAAAAAAAAGTAAAAAAAAACAAGGACTATTCCTTGAATTCTAATGGCATTTCATTTCCAGCTCTCAGAGCACACTGCGTTAGTATTTCTCTCTTTTTAAGATTCTTTGCCATGGAGTGTGTGCACTAACCAGAGACAGAGAAGAAAACAGAAATCACCCCTAGGGGGATGGATGGCCATGCCGCAGTTCCGTCCCCAGTCTCTTGGAATTTTGGGCATGCATGCGTGCACACATACATGCAGGGCATGATTTTCAAGCCACCCAGTCCAGGACACAAACTACAGTTGGGCCACATGAAGTCCAGCACCTTGATCTACATCATCCGCTGCTCCCGAATTACAGCTTTTAAAGTTTATTCTTCCAGGGACCAGCAGTTGGCATAATGGTTGTCGCTCGACTCCCATGTAGTCCACTGTGGTTCGCGTTCCGGACCCGGTGGCTTAAACTCACACTGGGCGCGTGTGTGTGCATGCCCCAGATACCAAGAGGAGAATGGGGAAGAGATTGTGGTGTGACCATCCCCCTGGGGGGGGTGATTTCTCGCTTTCTGTCTCTCTCTTTCCGAGGAGTGCATGCGCCCTATAGCAAAAACCTCTCAAAAAAAAAAAAATTTTATTCTTCCATGAGTGAGAGCACCCAGTCCCAAACAGGGCTTGGGCACTGCAATCCACCCACCACTGCACCTTCAGCCAGCCTGGACCATGGGCAGGTGCCCAGCATACTCGGAGGTCTCGACTTGAACCGGGAACCTTCCCGTGTGAGATTACCTTGGAGTAGAGCCAGGCCCCGGTCACGGTTGTTTCCATGGTCTTTGTGGTAAACTCTGCCTATGTCATCTGTCATGTCGCTTTTCATTTCTGTCCCACTTCAAACGGGACATACTTACCCACTCCTCGACCTTGCGCTGGTCTACTAGGCAAATATGAGGCAAAAATCCCAGTATAGCAGTTCCAAATGTGGCTGAGGCCCGTGCTTCCATTTCTGTGATAGAGACCAGGGAAAGCGCGTGCCCAATACCAGTCGGAGGCCACTGCCGGCCAGTGCCGAAGCCCGGGCCTTCCAGTAAGCCCACGCTGAGCCGCTCGCCGTTCTGCTTCGCGATCCAAGCCTACCTCAGCAGCCCGCTAGTGGAAGTGGGGTGCTGCCACGGCACAGCCTAAACTACGGGGCCTGGGCCTCGTGTTCACACGCAGAGACAGCTGTCAGCCAGGCCTTAAGTGACTCGCCAGTGAAAGTCTGGAGGCCTTCGGGAGTCATCGTGAGGGACTAAGGAGTGGGCTGGAAGCTGGACGGGATCCCCGCTCACAGTCAAGTCCAGCAAACTGCGGCATCTTGGAAACGTGCCTGGAACGGCCTTGATCTTAGTTCCAGGCAAACCCAGCTTCTCACAGCTGTCTAGAAATGAGGGTAACATGAAGAACCCATGGGTTTGGAGGAAACAGACTCAGAACAGTCCTGTCGCAGCGTTCTACTCAAACCGTTTTCAAGCAAAAATCAAATTCAATAGTGGGGCAGAAAGACATTTTGTTCAAGACCTCAGAGAGGCCTCCAGATACTTCACACACACACACAGTGCCCCATGGTCTAAGAGGCGTGCCCTGTAGATCCTGCCCAAGTCAAGGACGTTTTCAGCAGCCTCACAGGACACCTGACACACTGCAGAACGTAGGCGGTTTCCAGCAGAGTCATGGTGGCTCCGTGCAGTAGAACAGATTATAAACTGCCACAGGAGAAGCCCACCCAGTTTAAAACCGAAATCAGGGGGCCAGAGTCGTCCAGTGTTTGGACTTTGTGATGCTGGTGGACACGGACAGGTTCCAACTCCATATGGAGACCTCCTGAGTATGATCTGGGGCTGCCCAAAGCAATGGCAGCCAAATACCTGTCTCTCTCTTGCTCATGGAAAAAAATAACTTTAAACAGAAAAGTGTACTGTATAAAGAGAAGCCTTTGGTGGCCAGCAGGTGATATGGTTAAGGTGGCTGGATTCAACATGGCCAGCGCCCTGGGTCTGCAACACACACCGGGGGATTGGTGTGCTATCAGAGGCACTGGACTCCCATATGGCCAACCGTGGTTCAAGTCCTGGGCCTGGAGGCTTGCCTTCTCACTGTCCCCCGCTCTCTCACTCTGTCCCTCTCTGGTCAAATTAAAGTTAAATAATTATTTTTTAAAAAACAAAAAACACTGGATACACGTGCATGTGTGCACAAAATCCTGAGAATGGAGGAGGGATTGCAGAGTGGCCGTCCCCCCTGTAGAGTGCTTTATCTTTCGTTCTCTGTCTCTGGCGAGTGCACCCACCCTACAGTAAAACTGAAAAACAAGAAATAAGCCGCCTTTGGACTCCCAACTTCATGAGTGGCAAGCAGACCGAGACCACATGAGCTGCCTTTAGAGAACAGACTGGAGCCAGTGGGGTTGGGCCTCAGACAACCCTGCGGGGTGTGCACGAAGCGCCACGGCAGGCCGCTGCACGGCACCATCGCTGTGGACCTGCATCGCTGTGGACCAGCGTCAGCATGAGCCTTTCATTTCCTCTTTCCAAGTGGAGATGCTGAGTCATGCTGTCACGCCTGCTGGGTCACCACTGGGATGAAGTGGGGGTCTGTAAGTCTCAGGTACACCCACAACTCTACCTGGGGAGCCTTATCCACGCCTGGACCTGGTAAGATGAGCAGCTTCTATATGGGCTGTTGTAACAGGCTATGAATTGCAGGAAAAGGCATGATTTTATTTTGCACACAATGGGGACATGAATTATTGTGCCTAAATGGTGGACTGAAAAAAAATGGCTGCAACATCTGCCCCATGTGCTCTTTCCACGTGATGGGTGGGGAAACCTACCCCACCCGCTGCACGGTCAGGCTTGTGCAGACCTGCTGCTGAGCTGAGGCTAGGGAACTTAAGGCAATGCGGCTTCTGACACCAGAGTCCTAAGCGGTTGTAGGACTCAGCAGCTCCCAGGTGGTGAGGTCGGCAGGGGAGTGGCTGCACACCCAGGTGATGCTCTGCTGGCTCACTCACTCACCGCTGCTCGCCTCCTGCCATGCGGCCCGGTTCGTGGCAGGGGGCTGGGACCCGGGACCCGAATGTAGAGAGTAGGACTGCTGTGAGCACCACTTACTGTGAGGGAGCCCACAGTAACCTGCAGAGGAGATGCCAACGTCGGCAACTAGATGTAGCCTTGACGCACCTGGCCAGGCCCCAGCCGCACCACTGCTCCCACCTTCCAGAATGTGGCTCAAAACCTCAGAGACCCAGAGCCAAATCATGGAGCTGAAAGCCTTCATTTCTGACCCACAAAAACTCAAATAAATGACTGCTCTTTTAAGCCACGAAGTTCAGGGATACTTTGCAGCAACTGTAAATTGAAACATGTTTCTGGTAGAAATATTGTAATAAGCAGAACTTGGGTGAGACCACAATTTTGTTTTCAATTCACCTGAACCAGAATCATCCCGACTTTTAAGTTGGGATGGTTTAAGCAGCAGCAAATCAAAATTTTATTCCCCTGAAATTTGCAAATTTTTTTAAAGAGGTTTTGCTATAGGGCGCGTGCACTTGCCAGACAGAGACAGACAGAGAGATAGAAAGCGAGAAATCACCCCCCAGGGGGCATGGCCACGCTGCAATCCCTTCTCCTCCATTCTCCTCTCGGGATCTTGGGCACGCACGCACACGTGCCCGGCATGAGTTGAAGCCACCAGGTCCAGGACTCGAACCACGATCGACTACGTGGGAGTCCAGCGACATGGCCATTACGCTAACTGCTGGTCCCAAATTTGCAAATTTTTAAAACATTTCTACTTGCTTTAAGGCTTTTAGCTATTCATTGTATGTTGATTTATCTACAAGAATCACATTTTAACCAATTATTATTCAGATGGGTGACCTCATTTCCTGCTCCAAAACGCCACCTATAATAATACTTAAATGAGCAAACTACAAGCAATAGAACCATAAAGCAATGAAGATGGAAACCACTGCATGCTCCTTTACCTTTTATTTACCATAAACATCAATACAGCAAGTACCAGAAAAAGGCGTTTTAATAATTTTTTGATGTAAAGCTTAACACTTAGAATTGTGCCTGCCCCCCACCCGCCCCCACTCACATGCAGATATCGTTTATTTTCATCTACGCTGATTCAAGGGCATCACGTCTCTCGGCAGTTTCACAAGCGTACCTTTGCCGTGGAACTTAACCTCACACGCCGTACACATCAGAGCATACTGTCATTCCTCTAAGTCCCCCAAGATGATTACATGTACACAATAGCAACACTAAATCTGTGTTTTTAGAACATCATAAGACAAACCACAGAAGCCCAGGGGCTGGTTTTAAATGTGTTTATGAAGACTGCTGCTGAGCTCAGAGCATGCAGGGAGTCGTGGCCACCTAGATGATGCTGGTACTGAGACTCCTTCAGGTCCAATGCTCACTCATCCCAAGTATCTCCGTATTTGTTTACTTTGACTAGGAGAAAAAGCATAAATAGGTGATGATTCCAAAAAACAGCTAAAGGCACTATTTTAAGTTTGTTCTTATGATGAAAGTTATGTTTCTCTCATCTGAATAAAAGCACATGAGAGTCAAATGATAACTGGGCCGGACTTTCATGAACTGGGGTTGGACCTAACTATGAGTGCACTGTAATCAAGAATGTCATAACCCTCAATCCTCCTCACGGCTGTATAAACTAATCACGTCCTCATTTTAAGGGTGAGACAACAGATTAGTAACTTGCCCAAGGTACAAGCCTTATGAGATTAAACTGAGATTGAAACACAGGACTGTTTCGGTCCAGAGCCTGGGTGCCTTTGCAACTGCACACCACCTAAGAAAATGTACGTGTTATAGAATATACAAATACACCAGTGAGAAGTAAAAAGACAACCACCACTACACGAACACTTAAACTGGTTTTCACAAAACAACATAGTAATACTAGTGGCCAGGCCTCCAGCTATGGTTAATCCACTGGCTCTGCTGCTCCGACAATGGTGTCCAGTGGTCCTGCGTCTTATATACCACTGAACTGGGTTACGTCCCTGTCTCTGCGACACTTTACTTTTTATTTTTTAGCCACTCTTCATGGGTCTCGGACACATCATGATGTGTTTTTCTATGCAAAAGTGAGTCCTGACTTTTCCAATGAACCAATACATAGCTCTCATCTATGAATTACGTATGACTTTCAGAAGACTCCAGTGAACGTAATAGTGGAGAGAGGGAGCTTTCCCAGTGCGGACCCTCCCAGGGAAGGTAAGAGGTCAGTGGCATCACTGGACCGCCAGGCCACCACGTACCCTCTCACTCAGCCTCTTGCTCTCATTTCCTGAGTGTGTGGCACTTCTCTAGACGCTACAGGATGTGTGGCGTGGCAGTGCTCCAGGGCTAATGGAAATGTGCTTACAGCAGCTATCAATAAATATAATTAATATAAATTAAAGCTAAACACAGTAAGGGACGATTGCTGACCCTGTGAATCTACACCATACTAATGAAAAATTTTCTGCCTACATTCAGGAACATTATAGAAAAATCACTTAAACTAATTCACAACTGGTCTTTTCCTTAAATTATATAAAGCACAAAAGAAACCAGCTTTCTTTAGGCTGACTGTGGTCTGGTAATTAAGGGAGCAGGACCCCACAGGGCCGATCATGCGGTTCGAATCTTGGCCCCAGCAGATTGAAAACAAACACTAGGCCCGTGTGTGCACCCCCAAGCCCCGACAGGCTGAGGGAATGGAAGAGAAGTGCGGCAGCAAGATCACACTGCACTGGGGACGCTTCCTCTCCCCTCCCTCTCGGTCTCTGTCAAGCATACACACCCTCTGCAATCGTGTTTTTTTCTTTAAACAAGCTTTCTTTTACAAAGCAAAAAATTACTGTGTCATGTAACAAAACTTCAAGACTGTTCAGTCAAAACTCATAAATGTCTAATCCAGCATCTGCTATAAATGTACGCTATTTCCTTTGCTTAACCTGTTGCTATAAAAAGCACAACCAAAATGCTCCCAATTGCTTTCTGACTAGTGCAAGTACTATACTGTGAAGACACACAGCAGACTACAAAATTGGAAAAAAAGTTACTTCCTGCCCTCATGGAGCTTACACTCTACTCAGCAGAACAGAGAAGCAATGTTTTGACATACCACAGAGTAATAGCCACTGGATGTATAAAGTGTATGCTGAATGTTTTTTAATGACAAACAGTAACAAGCCTTGTAGATTTACAAATCTAATTCAAAGCTAATTATGTTGCATCGATATGATATAGATATTATTTATCCTTGTTAGAAAAACAGAATTCTAAATGAAACAATCACTAGCAATTAGAAATAAAAACCGGCTCTAAAAAATGTTAAGAAATATGAAGGAATGTTACGCGTTCTTGCCTTCTCTGTGGCATCTGACTCTCAAGAAGGTAACAAGTTCCTATTTTTTCCTTTTTCAAAGTAATAACACAAAACCTTAAAATAATTAAAAATCCTCTGAAATTCCCTAAGAGAAATCATAAAATTCTATACTTAAGTAACTACAAAACCCTCTTCAAACTGTCCTCTTTCTTCAGAGGTAATGTCCATGTAGGCAAATTTACTTTGGGTAACATACAACTATTCCAAAAGGACTTCAACCACTATTTTTATATTTACAATTATTTTTCAAACATACTGTTAAAAAATTCTTTTGGGAATGCCTTAAAAGCTGGTTTGCAAATTCCACAATGTACAAGAACAATCTACATACTCAATCGTGCCACTATGACTCTGCTAAAAGCGGCTTCACAGCCCAATTACCACCTCCGCTCACCAGTGAGTTATGCAAGACGCCTCACCAGGAAATGGATGTCCACACCCGAGGTAACCTCTTAAAAGGAAAGGAGTCGAATGGGTGTACAATTTCTATACTGTATCACAAAATTAGTCTCACGTCTATAAGTCTCACTACTTAGAAATCATTTTCCAACACAAAATGGCCTTGGGAACATCTTAAACATGAAAGGACAAATAAATAGTGATAACTGATAGCTACTCTTTAAAATATTTTTCATTTTGGTTAATTGCTTGAAAAATTACATACGTATATATTTAACGTTTTCAACTAAAGCTTTAGTTTCCAATCCTATGGAGCAACGTGATTCAGACTAAACTACCATACCTCCT